ACAAAACCCTGTGTGGTGGCTCATCCCTGTAATCTCAGCACTTTGGGAGGCCGAGTTGAATGGATCACCTGAGGTCAGGAGTTCAAGACCAGCCTGACCAACATGCCGAAACCCCACCTTTACTAAAAACACAAAATTAGCCAAGCATATTGGTATGTGCCTGTAATCCCAGCTACTTGGGAGGCTGAGGCAGGAGAATTGCTTCAACCTGGGAAGCAGAGGTTGCAGTGAGCCGAGATTGCACTCCAGCATGGACAACGAGAAGGAAATTCCGTCTCAAAAATAATAATAATAATTAGATAGGCATAGGCCCAGTGAGACAGTGGGATTCGAATCCCTGCGCCTCGGGCGGGGGAGACAATTGGAGAGAAAAGCTGGGTCCCAGGTTTCGAGGCCTCGGGAGACCCAAACCTGTCCTGCGAGTTTTTGGGCCCGATGGGGGAAGCGGTGCCCCGAGGCCCCCCCAGGATCCCGGGAACAAAGGGTGAGTGATTGCTCTGTGGGTGAAGGGAAAATGCCCCCCCCCCCCGCCCCCACAGTCCTGTCACCGCGGGGGGCGGAGGTGCGCTTCTCCCCAGCGCAGTTCCTGGTTCTCTGGCCAAGCCCTCTGACCTCCGAAATAGACCCTTATTGGGGGGGGGGGGCGGCAGGGGACAGCACGAGGTCCCCGTGGGGTGTCTGCCAACCCTGGGCGCCATGTCCTGAGCAGCTCTGCTGTCAGTTACTTAAACATATGTGTGGCACTTACTGGCTGCCAGGCGTTCAGCAGCATGCAGATAACGGAAACGGTTCCTTACAACGGCCTGTGAGGGAGGGGCAGCCTCACGGAGTCGTCTGCTGGAGGGAGGTGCTGCTGGGGTGGGGTTGGGTGTGGCTTCTGCGTGCCAGCAGTGGCGGCCCCGCCGAGGGCACCACCATCTGGAAGCTCCAGCCAGTCGCAGTGCAGTCCACAGGTTCCAGATGGGGCTGTGGGGGCAGAGTGAGGGCGGGAAGGCTCCCAGGGGTCAAATTAAGAGAAGGTCCCTGTTCCGGGGACCCCAGGGCGAGCTTTCCAGGCAGAGAGAAGCCGGGGGCCGGTTGCCATGGGGGTGTCGGAGTCTCTAGCTGGAGTTACTGGGGCAGGGAGGTCGGAAACGGAGGCCAACCGGTGTGAGCCTCCGCCTGCTGAGAGCCGTGGGGAGGGGCTGGAGTCCGCTGTCAGCAGCCTGCGACCCAGACCTTCCACTGCCGGCAATTGCAGGAGCCTCCTCCCTGGTCTCTGCCCTCACTTACAGCGGCGCCAGCCGCCCCTGCGCCCCAGCAGAAGCCGGGCTCTTACAGCGCAGCCCCCCGCCCCCCGTCCCAGCGCTAGCCTCTCCAGGCACCGTCCCGGCTCCGGGGCCCCCGCGCTGCCCGTTCTGTTCTGCATTCCCTCTGCCCTGTGAGGCAGGCCTCTGCTGTCTTCATTGCATTATTTCCCCAGACT